TAAATATCCTATTTACAGAACTGCTTGGCCATTAGATATCCAAGAGCAAACTCTTATGCAATATATAGCATCACAGCCTGTTTTTACTCTCTGAGTAAAACTGATAGCAACTTAGGAACTTAGTATTAGCTGAACAAGTTCATACATTTTGCTAAATTGTGGATGAGCACAACATCACAAGCTTCAGGAATATTCCCTCCCCACTTCTTTCTCCTCACTTTTCTGATGTAGCCATGAGGAGAGATCATTTTCAGAGAGTGCTTTCATTCATTTTCAGCTACCTGCTGTTGTTATTTTCAAAGTCAGACAAACTGGTTAGTTACCAAGTCAACTTCAAACCAAGATTTAGCACACTGCCTAGTTTTCCTAAATTGTTTTTGTAACACTAACCACAGGTCCTGGTTCAGACACAATGGCAAATGGTGCTTAGTTGAAACTGGAAGAGAAAACTTTCAGTCACTTCCTTGGGGCTGCAGTGGAGCAGAGAAAGGGAGAAATGGAGCTGGGGCACATCCAGTCTTGTTCCTGTTGTAATAATCTTAACATCCAAGTGCTGCCATGATCTATCTGCTACTGGAATCATGTTATACCCCTTAGAAGAGGATTTTTTCTTAGACAACTCCCACAGGAATCATGCTTATCTAAAGTGCCATTACAACATCTGACAGATGTATTAATTTCCTTGCTTGAGTACAAAGTACAACAGATTGACTAGAGATCATTACAAGAGCATGCAACTCTTGCCTTTGCCTTTGTGTTTAAATCTCTAAAGATTTTTCTTACTAGGACCCTTTCCTGTCCAGTTTGCATGGTCAATGTTATACAGTAACAGTGACTTGTCCAAACCAGGGCATGTGCCAGTGCATGCCAAGCACCATTCGCCAAATTATCCTCCTGGGCAGTTTGTAGTGTCATCCAAACTTTGGCAACACTGAGGGAAATACTCCTCAAATAACGCAGTACTCGGGTTAACTGAGGATTGTTTTCCCCCTTTGACAAGCCATGCTGTTTGTGTCTGGATGACATGGTAAGCTACACTTAAATAGGTAGTTAGGCAAAGGGTGTGCCCAGTTTGTGCCACAGTTTAAATAAGCCACTGAGGCTTGTTTTGTAACCAGCTGCCACAGCAACCCATGTGCACACATACTCATCATACTTGGTTTGTAAAGTTTTTGTGGTACTTGTTCCAGGTTATGGAACCCAGTTATCAAGTAAGCATGTTTGGTTTTGGGCTGCTGCCATAGCTTCAGCCAATCCACGAGCACTGTTCTTTGTGCTCAGACCTTAAGAGAAGGAACCCCAGCTTTCCTTCAAATAGTATTGCAGCTGGCATACTACTTGGGAAGCCCAAAGGAGTTCTCATAAATGGATACTGTATGCCTTTAGTTCATTTATGCTGTATAATTCCACAGAAAATATGGCTGATGACTTTTCCCATGCAGATTGTCTGGGACACCAAACAACTCTGTCATGTTCAACATTTAGAACGTCATGAATGGTTGTGGAGGTGGTGAGTCAGAATGCAGCTTTTGCCTGTCACAAGAGGCACATCCATTAAGCTGAACCCTCAGATGTTTAAACAGTTTGGCAGTATACCAAATCCAGTGTTCTGTGCAATGGAAAGGCAGAATGTGGTCAGGTTCCATTTGGCCTGGTTAGTTTCTTGCTAAAATTACAGTGTCAATGAAAGTCTTAGCCTAATGGGGAGGGCCATGGCCCCAACATGCAAATAACACTGGAATTATAGCCCCTGAAATGGATCAGGGAGGCAGGCATCTGTAACTTTTTAGCAATTCTGCAATCCTATTTACATAAAAATGTAATTGCACCAGAAGGCCTCCTTGCTTAAGTTTTCTACCAGTTAGAATTCTGCCAGATAACCAACCACCTGGATTTTCAAGTATGTACATTAATGTGTGCATTTTATTCTACCATAATTTGACCCACAACTGGTCCCCGTCCACCAGATCAGAGATTCCCATTAAATCCACAAAAGCCAGAAAGTTTGGTGACTCAGGTTTCCTTATTTGTGTTGTTATTAAATAAAGCAAAGCAAAACATGGATCAACTATATTATCCGTCTTTTTAGAATACAAATTGCTCTTCCCTGATAAATTTGATGTGGGCAAGTCTTTCAAATGTACCAGTTACAAGCCTGCAATATTTCTGATACCATATTTAGGAAGGTGATGGATAAATAATTTATATTGGCTTTGCTATCTTCACTGCAATTAAAGAATGGATTTCAGCTCTTGAGAATAACATGGAACTGTCTTGAATTCTGTAGAAGAGGAAAAAGGTGTGATATAAATGCAATGTAATGATATAATGATTAGCGAAATACTGTTGTTAATCATATGGATAAATAGTTAGGCCAAAACAGGATCTTGTCATTGAAAATTAAATTTTAAAAAATCAGCCAGTTTATCTTTCCGCTTGCCTTCAGTTAGTGTACAGATATCCTGTTCCGGCAGCTAAACCTAGATATGAGATAAATCCGGAAAACTCATTATAATAATAGGAAACAATTTTGGCATTAAAATCCCCCATCTAAACATTATGGGGCTCAGGATTAAGCAAAATATATGTTGGATAACATTTCCTAATCCATCCCAGATTTAGGCACAAAGTATTTTGCTCTCAGGAAAGAATATATACTACATTTTAAGACACTATTTCCCAGTTGGCCTTTCTAACAAAACAACATGTAAGGTTGGAGTCTTGCTAACTTTTGATATTTTGGCTATTGCAACAATTTCTGGTTTAAAATTTAGCACCATCCATCTAAAAGATAGATAAAAACATTGTCAACTAATAAATTTAGCTGCTGAGCAATAAGTTAAGTAAGCACTTTAGGGGACAAATGCATGCATAATTAAACAGGAAAAAAGTCCTGCAACTCCCATCATCCTCCAGCTTCCTAGCTAGGATGTAGTGTAAATTGTAGGACTTTTTAAAAATCTTAACAAGCATAGGATTGTGCCCTTCACTGGTTTTAGGCTAATATCACATCCTAGACTATGAAGTCAATAGCTTCCTTTTCATGGATTGTTTGCTGACGTAGGCACTAATTTAACAGCATAATCCTATAAATGGTCCCATAAATGTTTTGGTTTATGTTCTTCCACTTCACTGAGGATCTTGCAGGCAAGGGAGGAAACAAAATAATTTTTTTCCTATTAACTAATGCAGTTTTAAAGAACATAGGCCTTTGTCTTGCTTATGGCAAGAATTTATAATGCTTCACAAGGAAAATAATGGATAATGATTCAGTGATCCAAGTATACCATCTTTTTAACAAAATTCTTAACATGAGTCATTTTCTTTTTCATGGTTGTGATGTCAAAGTATGAGTAATTCCTGCCCTTAACTCTAGCCATCCCTCTACATCTCTGAGAAATCATGCAATGCTGTATTTGTTCAGTTGCAGATGGTTTATTTTATTTGGAATATGACCATTGTTTTTTGCCTTATCCTTACAAGATCTTCTCTTGATCCAAGCAGCAGACTAGAACCCTAACCCTCACCATGGTCCTCATTGGATGACATTTCAAGCTTGAATGTTGTGCCATCTGTTTTCGTCCCTGTCCCATCTAAAATGGTCTCCTTGGTCTTAATTGTGCAAGCCACCTTCACAGGACTACTGCTGAGATAGCTTTTGCTCTTCAGCCAAATCAAAAGTCTGAAACCTTGAGGAAAACGTCTCAATGGCAAGAGAAATTTACAACGTTCCTCTTGCTGATTCTCAAGTGACTGTCACTATCCCGTCTTTATCATGTAACACAAAGTTATTTCACATTATTTAGGTTTTGATGGACTTTCTCTTTTGTGCAGCTCCAACTCCATCCCATGCCAAATTTATCTTGGTTTGTGAACAAATAATCTAAATGTATTTTTGTGCACATTTTTGAAATAGAAGCATTAATTGACACATGCCCCCATTCACTAAAGCATGTTTGTCTGCACTTTAGAAATGTATGCAGTGTTTCTTGCACATTTCTCAAATGTGTGCATGTTCTCGAATGCATTTTTTCCTTTCGCAGAATGCATCGCAAGCCTGGAAATGTACGGATTTCCGACCGCAAATTACATCCGTTTCCGCGTTCGGTTCCGGGAGGTGCGGATCGGGTAAATCCGTAAAAAAATCTTGATGGAACAAATTTCTTTACACATCCCTAACTTTTATCTATAACAATATTGGCAAGCTGGATCTTCAAATTAGCATCATTTTAATTACAAACATAATTAAAAATCATAATTATTGAATTCATCTCTGAGATTGCAATTTTATGCATACATGAAGTAAGCCCTGTTGGAACAGTTCTGAATTACATAAGGAAATGCATTGTAATTCAGTTTCCCTTCCTGTTAAAAAATACTTTATTTCATACAGCTCAAGTAGAAACTAACATTGGATTTAACTTTAGAAGTAGTTGTTTAGAATGATAGATCACATCAGTTTCTTCACTGACTTCTAAAAAACATGGTTTTCCCAAAAAGTTCAGTGAAAATGGTTCAGCCAGACTTCTAGAGCTGACAGTGTTTATGTTGCCTATTGAGGATTGCAAAAATTAAATAAGAGAATCACCAATTTCTCCAAGTTTCTCAAAATCACATAGGTTGGAATCCTGTACCCACTTACCTGGGATTAAGCCCATGGGATTTACTTCTGAACAAGCATGCATAAGATTCCATCATGCCAATTTCATTGAGAGGAAGTAGCCACATAATTGATTTGGGTCTTTTTACAAACTGTAATTGTTTGAACAAGCTCTAAATGTTGAGTTGTGAACATGCAAGTTTTAAGATATTTGTCCTGTTTGATTTCTCACTGAGGTTTTGAGAAGGCAAAAGGCACACATTTGATGCTCCCACAAAGAAGTCACTTATGATTTTAAAGCAAACTAATATTTCAGTCAGTATCCCACTTTTAGTGGCATGCAATCATTTGGCTTACCACAATGACAAGAATTCTTTTTTTTCTTATCTCTTTCCTATAGGTTACTTTTGATTTCAGTGACACTGCTTTCTATTTATTCAATAAACTTGCTGTTAATATGTTCAAAGGAAACAGGTAATTTCTAAGAATGTGGTATTAATTCAATAGTAGTGAAAGGGAGAGAAGAAAGGTTCTGAGCTTTCCCCTTCCCTACGTTAGTCATAAGGGAAAGAGCCATCAAAAGTGTTCCCTCCTCTCCTTCCATTACCATTGCCCAGTCAAAATAGTCAGAGGACCAGAGTAGAAAATGTTTGGGGAATAGAATAGAAACTGGGGCTCAGCACCCATTTATAAGTGGAATGTTTTGTATTTTGTGTTTTAATTTATTCCCCACCAGTGAAATGGTTTGTACATTTTGTGGAAAATACATTAAAGAAGTTAGAATCAACAGTGAGGGAAGAAGAAGGTAGCTCTTGAAGGTACATTGGTGCTTAGGAACACCATGTTGGGACCCCAGCAAGATAGAGATCTTCTTTTCAAGTTTTCTGTTCAGTATGCTGCTGAATATAACTTCTAGAATTCAGCAACAAGCAAGAGCTTCTTGTTCAGGTCTCTGTGGGTTTCCAAAAAGCATCTGCTTGGTTTCTATCAGAAACAGGATGTTGAACTTGATGGACCACTGGTCTCACCTAGCAGTGTTTTTCTTATATCCTGTGGCTGCACTGTGAAATGTTATGGGACCCTTTAAGCCTAGTCTATTTTTTACACAGGCTTGCAAAAACAACATTATAAATGTTTGTGATCAGGTGGGAGATAATGTTTGTGTTCCTCTAGAATTAGAATACCTATTCATGGACATGAGCTCTTTTCATTTTGATTGTTTGTTGAATCTTATTCCTAGTAAAGAAGTTGAGAAGTTCAAGTGTAAGCATTATGAATACCCAGGGTCAGGATGAAATAGATCCTGAAGTCACAATGACTTTGTTGTTTGGAACTCTTCCTTTCTAAAGCCTGATTTGGGCTTCCTGTCCTCCATGCTCTTAGAATCACATGAACAGGAGGAAATGAGTATTCTGCATCCACCACCACCCCCTCACTGTTTTTGTGCTCTCCACTTTTGTTGTTGGAGAACAAATAGGCTTCTCTAGATACAGCATTTACTGAGCGCTCATGATTCCTCCCTTACAGAAGTGGTTTTTTACAAATGCTTTACATGATCTCATTTTCCAAGACCTCTCCTGTGCTTTGCAACCACTTCCAGGGCTCTTTTTTAGGCCAAGAAAAGTATGGAAATCATGCTAAGAGAAGTGCTTGCAATTCTACTATTCCACTATACCACACTGCCACCTGGTGGTTGTGTAATGGAACATATAGAAAGGCAAAAAAGTAAAAGCCCTATGAGAAGAACAAGAAAAGGCCCTGTGAGAAAACACCTGTAAAGGAGCTGCTCTTAACCCAGGTGTTTGTCTTAATCCATGTACTGTTTGTCACCTAGGAAGTGGAAACGTTAGCATGAAGGAGGGAATTTGCTGAATGTGCAAGAATTGTAAATGACTTCATTCTACATGGTCACGATTAATGTTCAACTCTTCTTCAAATTGGTTTGATCAGGTTGCATGGTTTATGAAAAACTTGGTGAGCAAGTCTTTGGCACCCCAGGAAAGGTGATTGTTTTTGGAGCGACATCTCTTCAGAACGTGGGAGGTAAATAAAGAGGGCAAAGGGCGGGGGGAATAAATGATTTGTGTATTTGTAATGTTTAGTCTTTTTAGTACTTGGCTGAACTAAAATACTCCCTGCATTAAAATAAATATTTGTTGGGGTGTACTTTTTTCAGTGAAGCAGCTGTTCTTAATTGTCTTGCTTAATTGGACTAACCTCTTGTCTTATTCCATATGTCTTGTTTTTGATAAAGGGAGTACAGTGTGTTTCAGGGCAAGATGAAGCCTGGCCAGTGCTTTTAGGACCCATCACCTAGTATAGCTCACGTTAATACTGTCCACAATCCCACAATACTGGGATTGTGCTGGCCCTAGCACGTGTTTGTTATAGGACTATCTTGGGGTAATGTTCGAAGGTCATTGTGGCTGAAAGCTACTTCAGGGGACTTCATTTTGTTTATAGCTATGATTCTTGAATATGAAACATGTGCTATGTGATTAATTATTTTTCTTATCTCTTCAAAATACACCTAGGGGGAAGTGTTCAAGTGTATTTTTAAGAGATGAACAGCTCAAAATACATACCTGTGAGAGTCAAACTGAACTACACAGAGGTCAGGGATAGACATAATCTTCAGGTCCAAAGGGAGCTTGAGCTTCGTCTCCTCTTGCCTCTCATTTGTTTCCAGTGCTGCGGAAACTAGGAAGCTGTTGCGTTAGTGCTCCTGCAAATGAGGATTACAAAGGCTAGCTTGAATCTTGCTTGCAATTCTGGTTTGTAAGTAGTACTTAAACCACTGCTTCCTAGTTTGGACATCAAGTTGAACCCACAGGTGTGTCTTTTGTGCTGGGGGATCATACTGACTATACATTAACAGTGTTTTCATGATCATGTGTTGACTTAATCAAAGGAGGTATGAATGAGCCTTTTGTGCATACACAGTCCCTTTGGTCCGCCTTTCATGTGAACCAGCACATAAACCAGGAAGTCTTGAATCAACTATAATTATTTCACCCAAACCGAGAAATCATCCCTAAATGCTTCAGAACAAGTTTCTTTTTTTCCTACAAAGGGGCCACATGTGCAGTCAAAATGCTCATTCATTTGAACTCTTCCCAAAAGTCCTATCTGATTGACCCTGAAGATAGTACAGAGAAAAACTAAGTACATCACTGTGTTTCCATCATGATTTATTATGTTTCCTTTCTAACAAGACCTTGTTTTCTCCAGCGATGCTGAGCTATCTCTTCATAGTTAAAAATGAACTACCCTCTGCCATAAAGTTTCTTATGGGAGAAGAAGATAATTTTTTGTAAGTTTAATTTATGGTTTTGCTGACTTGACTAATTTCTCGTGGTGAAGGCAGGGGCTCATGAATTGCATGCAGTGCTTCAAGCATTTATCTGAGAGCTGATGTGATGTAAAGGTTAAGAGGGTTGGGCTAGAACTCGGGAGATCTGGATTGTAGTTCCCACTCACCATGAAGTTCACTGGTTAACTTTGGGCCAGTCGCTGACACGTAGCCTAGGCCACCTCACAGGGTTTATTGTGAGAATAAATAGAGGGGAGGAGACTCTTGGGTTCCTTGCAAGAAGAAGAAAATCAGGATATAAATGCAATGTGATAATGATTATATGCACTGCTGCCATGCTGCATTTGAACACTATATCAAGCCGTCTTTTAGCATTATGAAAGGCAGGAAAAGAAAAACAGAATGAAAGAGTAATGACAAGATGAACGGAAATAGATAAGTTCTGTGCCACTGTAGGGGGTTTTAAAAAAACAAAACAATGACAAATTGTTACTCTGATCCTTTGCATTGTTGAAATACCTTTTTCTGACTCCTGGTGCCAGTTTAACTAAAAGATGCCAGAGCCATTTGCTGTCTGAATTTTTCAACTGTTATTGGATCAGACCCATATGTTATAGCAGCACAGTGGTCACCCAAATAATGTGCCTGGAGGAAATGGGGACCCATCTGCACACTTACATGTTTTGAGGACCAGGTACATGCATTCTGAGCATCAAGATTCATGATCTCTCCTTGGATGGATTCCATTTCTCCTTGGGATGGAAGCTTTAGCCTGGGCTAGTCCCTTAGCTGTCCATATTCAAAGGGCTTGGTGGCAAGTGGCACTGGAAGCCAATGATGTCTTTCTCTCTCTCTCTCGTCCAGTCAAGACGCAGCTTGGGAAAGGCTAAATTGGGGGCCACGCCTTACCTGTCCTAACACTTCAGAAGCTGCTCTTTTAGGCAATATGTATTCTATTCCTGCAGGTTTATGCAACTGAACCCCTTTCAGATACTATTCTCATAATTTCAGTTTAAATGAACGTGTAGAGAGTCCGGTGATTTAGGTCATGCTTTCTCCATGAGGTCCAAGGTCTCATTGACACAGAGGCAGGAGGCACACATACTTCTGCACACATGTGAGGTGCTGGGAAATCGAAGTCTCAGATCCCACATATGCTAGAAGACATGTAGGCTCTGAGTAAACTGTAGAAGCCACTCTGGCAAGCAGAGGCAATAGGCAGGGCTAGAGGGCCTCTTTAGGCTTTCTATTCTGCATGAGCAATCCTCACACATGGGCATAGGGAGGGTGATAGGGATTCAGCATCTCTGCTGAATGGGCAGGCATCTTCCTGCATCATCTCGTTGAAAGATGCTCTGGCTCTGCCTGTGGTGGATGTTTACATTCAAGGCACCAGCCCCAATTCCCCTTAGCTGTCTGGGTGACTTGGTCCCAAAGGAAGGAGAGGGTGGGAAGCTGTAGGTGGTAGGTTTTCTATTTTCACACTGTTATTGCTAAAGGGGTTTTGAGGCAAGCCATAGATTCATGTGTTGTTGTATCTCCAGATGCCTGGATTTCCATTTATCTCTTCTGTCAGCTGATTAAGTTTCAAAAAGTACAATCCACAGCTTGGGTTGTACAGCAAGAACTGTGCCCCGCTGAGCAATCCTTTCCTCAGTTTCAGCCTGGGTGTTGTCCTTTGCCAGCTGGCATGGGCTGGCCCTCCACCCCTGGCATCGCTTTTACCACTTCTAGTAACTTCATGAAAATACAGCATTTGCAGACTCCTACAGCTCAGATCCAACAAAAAAACAGCTGTAGAATAATAACTGTCTGCTTACTTATACCAGCTAGAACAACCAAGGCTTGTTCAGTCTCACTTGAATATCTAGTCTCAGAAGGCATAAACAATAAAACCTTGTCCGTAGAAAAATGCGGCAATGCAGAGTGAGGAAGTAATGTTATACCTGCATTTTTGAAAATGTTTTGCAGAGCTTGGTATGTGGATGGCCGACTTCTTGTTGTAGCTGTGACGTTCTGTATAATCCTTCCTTTGTGCCTTCTTAAGAATTTAGGTAAGGATAAATTACCTTCTTTAGAGCGAAGTAGGATTTTTAGTCTGTATTCCAAAATATAGTTTAGGTGCATTCTAAGCCCGGTATGCATAAACTCTGATTTGAGGTGACTCTGTAGCCACAGAATAAACTATGCAAAGGGACTCTATAATAAAGTAGCCTACATTACAATTTGGTACAGTCTGAATACATTTGGCTGTCTGAACCTGAGACAAAATAATGCCTTCATTTAGATGTTCTATTTTTGAACTTCATTATGCCCAGAAAAGATTTCTGCTCCCCAAGACAGTGCAAAAAGTATACACTAGATTTGAAAAAAAGAAGAAAAACACACACCGTACCGATGCATAGATTTTGCCTTTAAAATAAGTAAACGAAGGTAAGTATTTGTTAAAATCAGTTAAAAGGAGCAGGGGACAAAAGCCTCAGGCTAGCAAAGAGCGCAGAATACTTTTAAGAAACTGGCATAGTCATTCCTCACTATCCTTTTCGCTAACTCTCTACTGTTGGTTTCTCCCAAACTTCCAGCATTTTGCTCTTGAGCATTTACCCGCCTGTTACTGTCAAGTCTTCAGGCAACCTTTCTCGCCTAAAGTCAAGCAAACAGGCTTTGTCTAACAGGTTTTCTCCATCTAGTGACAGCTCAGTTATCACTGTCCATTTGAAGATAGGATAAGTTGTAGCAATGGAATTGTCTTTTGCCAGCAAGAACCCTCTGTGATCCCATTTTCAATTTTTCCCATCAATTAATAATTCTGGTAATCACTCATCTGACAAAGCTTGAATTTTGAATTTTGAGCCAGGATTCACACACACAGACACTCTTCCATAGCTTTTGGTGGTACACAATGTCTCAAATGACATTGCAAAATATTTAGAGAAAAGTTGACACACCTGTTTCCTAATACATTATCCTGATGTATGTTGCAGTTATTGTGCATATTCTAGTTACATCCAGGCTGGACTATTTTAGTCTATTTTTTAGTGACCCTCCAGTTATAGTTCTATGTCTGGCAAGCACTTCTGGCAATTATATTTTAGAGCAGAGGAAAAGCAGCTTTTCATTGTGAAAACAAACAAAGAAATTTTCCTCACCTGTATATCTGTGCTGTTCTGTTGTCCCATAGTGCCACTTAGAGGTTATTTAGAGGGAAAGCAGGAAAGGCCATGCTCTTTGTATACAGCTCAAATCTCAGTTCTGCAAAGAAGCTGCAAGCAGATACAGCAGATCAACAGACAACTGATACTCTCATTTGGAAAAGCTCCAGGTTATTTGAAGATCACCGAGCCCTGGTTGAACTTTCCCCGCTATTAAGATGGCCTCCGGTTGTCCTCAGGACCCAGCCTGGAAGGTCTCATGCTTGTGGGCACAAGAGACAGGGCTTTCTTAGCAGTGACCCTAGCAGGATAGAACAACCTCCCACAGGAGATTCACTTAGGGTGCCTCCTCCAAGCCCTTCATGCACTTAAACTTTCAAATTAGAGGTGTACATGCATCCAGTGACTGGAGGGTGATGTTCACCCCTGCTTGATGTGCCCCATGCATTTGGTCTGGAGGCCACTTTTGGCTGCCTAGATACAGGGACAGGGAAGGTGGCTGGGGTGCTGATAGGAGTCTATGTACAGAGATAGCTTCACCTTCTACCACTCACCGCCCCCAGCACACCAGCTTGCCCCATCTCAGAGAGGCGGCCCTGCAAAGGGACACAGCAGATGCTTGACTTCAAGGAATCCTATTCAGACATACCCTGACAGTCAGGAGGCTGTAGGTGTACACACCAACCCATCATGAAGTGTGTTAAAAATGGGTAAAAAGAGCGGATACACTGATATAGTTAAATTTTATGTAATGAATCAAAAGTGTGTTTTATGTAAAATATTCATTTATGCTTTGATTAATTTGGAGTTGAAGGTGCTTAAATGAAATGTTTTTAAAGAATTGCTTTTATATTATTGGTTTTAGATGGTATTGCAGAATTGCAAGCATTATTATTGCTTTGTATTTTGTCTCTCTTGTTTTATATGTCTTTAGTTTGTAAACTACCTTGAAGGGGCTATATAGCTCATATAAGGGTCATATTAATATTTAAAATAGTTCTAACATGCCTGAGCTTAATCTGTAGCAGTAAACGTGATAACAGAATGAGTAAAAAAATATGTTGTCCTTTGAATTTCTCTCAGGGTATCTTGGCTACACTAGTGGATTTTCCTTGACTTGCATGGTATTTTTTCTCATAGTGGTAAGTTTTGTCAGGTATTTCAATTAGAGCCATTACTTTCTAATTTAAGTTCAGTGGTTGAAACTTTTTCAAATGTGGCTCTTTATTCCAGGTTATCTACAAGAAATTTGAAAAGCACTGCCGACTGCAGGAGACAAATGCAACAGCTTCTTTCCTTTTAAACTCTACTGATTTATGTGAGGCAAAGTACATTACCTTTAATTCCAAGGTATGTGTCTTTCAACTGTCGTTTTATAGCACTTATAAGCAGTTCCAGACCATGGAGAAAAATCTTTTTCATTTTCAGTCAGAACAAATGCCATTTTGCCCATGTTTTGTTTCCAAGATGGAGGCATTCAAAGAATTTGGATTATTTTGATCAATACAGGGTGCTCCCGAGTAATGAACATCAGAGTTACAAACAACCGGTACTTATGAATGAACTGCCATAAAGCCTATTAATTAAAAATACTGCAGAAAATTGTCATCATCATAAAGAGAGGAAGGGGAGAGAAGGAGGTTTCCAAAGCATACGTTCCTGCCCTACCCATCAGGAGAGGGAAACCTCTCTGGCATTTCATTGCTGCAAAGATGAGGCAATGGTGAATTTAGGTGAGGAAAGAGCCTAGAGATACCTGCATGTTTTCCACTATCATGGGGATTGTGTATCCATGACCCCCATGAATATGAAGGCCAACTATGTTTGATCTGACTTACATACAAATTTTCTTAAAGACAAATTTCTATTTTCTTAGGAATGGAACTCATTCATAACCCAGGAACTGTCTGCATTCATGTAGCTCAGTGCAAAAAAGAGGGGAAAATATATCTTGAGGGAGCTTAGGTATTGCTGTGCTATAAGGACAGCGAACAGTTCAGAGTAGTCTTTGGGAAAGGAGTGGAAGAAGTCAAGATTTTTAAAATTAGGTTTATATTTGCATTAAACATCAAGAACTTACAGATAATCTGTTGATAGTATTTGCCACTTTAAAGTTTGCACTGCATCCTTCTTTATTTTTTAGCAATAAGAAATCTTCTGAAGCTCTTCTGAAGAGCTATCCCTCTTCTTTTTGAAAGGGGAATGAAAAATCAATGACCCATGGAAACTCTTCCAGTATTCCTAGACAGACAGAGTAGTACAAATCCCTTGATATTTGTCTTCTGAGTGTTTATCAAGTTCATCCTTTTCCCATTCTAGAATTTTCCTCATTGTAGTACTGGAAAACCCTTTAACCCATATACAGTAAAGAAAATGCAGTGAGGTTTAATGAAGCAAACACATGGGCAGCAGAAATATAAAAGTATTGGCTACAGAAATGGTAGTCACCTTAAATACTTAGCTAATTTATGCAAAGGTATACAGCTAATGCAAATAAAGGAAATTGAACAATACTTAGCTGCCTGGAGGACTTTAGCACAAGAGCTACATGTGCTGTAGGAGTGACTAGTGTTGGATTGGGACTCAAGTGGCAGACCCCACTTGGCAGGAAGGGCCATGGATCGCTTGACAGAAGAAAAGAAAAGGCAGGATACCAATCTCCTCCTCCTCCTCCTCCTCCTCCTCATCATCATCAGCAGCAGCAGCAGCAGCAGCAAAATAGTGTTTACTCATTTATAGAGTGACTAAACTTTGCTCAATACCATACAAAAAACAAAAGAACCTCTCCCTTACAGTCTAAAATGGTTCTGGAACCAAGAGCAAATCCTGTTCTTAATGTTTCATAGTTTATGGTGGCAAGGAGTCAAACGGCAAACAGTTTCTAATCACAGTTGATATAAAGGAAAATATTATCTCTCCTGACTCTCAATTTTCATTTTGTTTTTAAACAGACTGTGTATGCTTTACCCACCATTGCATTTGCGTTTGTGTGCCATCCCTCAGTCCTGCCAATCTACAGCGAATTGAAGGAGTAAGACTGTTTTTCTTATTTCATTACTAAAGAGAGTCATTTTGTTTGTATAACATGGGACCCAAATTCTACTTTGCAACCCTATTGCAGCTTCAATTTGAGAAAGCAGCAGGATGTACACACACACAGTTTTATCTAAAACTCTTTGTAATCCATCCAGAGAACATTTAGTTATCAGGAAAAAATGCAACAAACAAGCAAAATCGATACTATTGTTCATAATTTCATTCTATATGCGCCAATAGTCAAAGGTCACTTAGGATGTAATCCTATAACTGTTGAGAGAGAGAGAGAGAGAGAGAGAGAGAGAGAGAGAGAGAGAGAGAGAGAGAGAGAGAGAGAGAGAGAGAGAGAGAGATCCTACGGGGAGTTGTAACACTTTTTCCAGACCAAACATGCTTTGGATTGCATCTTTAAGGTGCACCTTGAGACCCAGCATAACATCTGTGGAGCTTTCTTCATATCTGCACAGATATTTATAGCAACACAAATAATGCTAACAATCATTTTGCCTGAAAGGATGTTAGACTATAGCTAATAACTATTGTCTGACTCAAGGACAGCTAAATCTGATAGAGTCACAAACCACCCAACAGCCAAAGCTCTCTGGGTGGTTAACAATAGCACACTAAAATGCAATATAAAATACACCCAATTGAAACGTCATAAAATTTAAATCAGATTTAAAAAATTGGAATAACTAGAAGAAACACCACCTTCTGAAGCCTACCATCCACGTGTGCCTCGCCCATGACTGATATGGATCTGTATGATCCAAACTGATCCAACGTCTCATCTGAAAGTGCCTGCAGCTGGCTGGCCTCTGTCCGGTCAAGAACCTTGCTTGTTTAACTCCAAACTGAAATCGTTGCATTCCTCTGAGTCTAGGGAGAATTTCTTCAGAAGCAGTCTCTCCACCACTTGTTTCAGGTATCCAGGGACCACTCGTTCTCACAGAGAAGCATTAATCACTTTGCCCTGTGAACAGTTTCCTCTCTACTGGCTTTCACTAGCCAAGAGGAGCAAGGATACAGGATAGACATAGTTGCACAAACCTGTACAAGCACCATGTCAACATCCTTGAGCTGTACTAACTGGAACTCTTCCAAAACAGCCAGACCAGACTGTGTTCTGGGTTTCTTACCTGATCCCACTGCTATAACATTTGGATTCAAAGTCCTGGAAAGTACAAGAGATATTTCCTTGGAATCATCTAGCAAATATATTACAGCAGGCCTCAGATGGCTGCAAGATGTCCTTGGGGCCAGCCTCAGACAATCCTAGACAGCGCTTTGGTGCAACATATGGAAAAGTGAATGGGGTGGTCAGCTATTGTGTCTTTGCTGCTCAAATATATCAACATGAAGCACATACCAGGGCTCAATTGTATTCACTAGGGCCTTTTGGCCATGTGGACTCAAGCCATTTCCTGATTCATATCATCATTCTCAGTTCCAGGGTATAATATGGAGCCATATAAGCTGTACTACAGAAAGGGCACTCAGGGGTGATAGTGTCAACTGCCTAGGTCATCTCTTTATTCCAGAGGGATTTGACAGGACCACCAGTCATAACAGCGGGAAAATCCCTCTGGAAACCATCTGGATCCATCGGCCTCTGGGGAAAGTCACCTTTAGTCGAAATGGCAGCAGGCAGTGGTCTGACTGTGTCAAGGGACCTGATACAAATTCTTATACCTTCAGATCACTATTCCCCTGCCTGTCTGAAAAAACCAAATCCAGAGTGTGCCCTGCTACATGTATTAGGTCAGTAACATGTTGGAACATGTGTCTCCATGGTTGTCATGGAGTCCATGAAGTCCTAAGCTATCTCAGACAGCACAGCCTTAGCATGGATGTTGATACCTCCAGGACCAACAGCCCGGGGGACCTCAATATGACACCTGAGACAGGTAGGGAAATTATTGGGTTACTGGGTGGACAATACACCAACAGAACCCCCAATATTTCCAGCGGACCCAACGCATGATGCAAACCTTCTATTTCCTGTGGTCTCATGTTTGCCTTCTGGGAAATGAGTCCATGTGACTATGTGACTTGCCATTTTACGAACAGAGAAGTCCCTGCCATAGCAACCATTTTGGAAGAGCAACTAACTCACAACACTCAGATTTCCAAATGTGCCCACTGACCCAAAGAGGTTGGGGACCAAAGGCAGGGGATTCCACATTAGTCTTTCATAGTAATTAGCAGAACTGGAAAATGCCTAATGTCATTATTGTTTAGGGCCCAGCAGGTGCCCTAGACCTAACCTGTTGCATTTGTAATTACAAGGAGATGCTGATTGACTATAAGGAACTACTTAACTGTACCATTTTAATTAGCCACCTAGCTCAGGGCTGTTGATCCTCTTTCAGGCAAAGGCCTAATTCCATCTTGGAGATGTCTTGGAGGCTACATTTGGTGGGTGGAGACTACATCAGTGGTGGGCAGAAGCACAATACCAAAGTCAGCAGCATGTTTTATTTTACAGCTCCCTCAGCCAGTATGCCTAGAAAAGGCATTTCATTCATTTAGAATGAGAGAAAATGGTACAAAAGCCAGGAAGCCACCAACCAATTGGCAGAGGAGGAAAAGGGGTGAGGCCAGGGGAAAGGGCAGGGGTAGGGCCATCAGGGAACCCTACAAGGCCAGACTGAGGCCTGTCCCCCCCATCCCAATATAGCCAAATGCTCTGTGCAAAGACTGGCAGCCCCTTCCAGCATTCTTGTTTCTAAAGATGCTTGAACAATTTGATCTTCATGAATTCTGAATAAACAGTGACTGAGTCCATGGCTCCTGGACTAATATGCAGACTGGAACATAATTATCCACTAGACTGCATGCTTCTTTGAATTTTCTGGTACAGTTTTCAGTTCAACTAGGTTACGAAAATGTGTTTTCAAAGTGGCTATTTAGGGGAAGACACATTTAGAAATGCGAATTTTGTGAGAGAAGATGTAAAAAGATGTCTTTAAATAGGATTTTTCATGTACATTTTTTAAATCTACAAATTAGTGTAGGAACAGGATGGCATAGAGTTTTGAATGAACATATGTAAAACCGGTACAGACTAGAATAGACTTATTTGTCCATTGCCAGCTGTTCAAAATATTTAACTGGAGGTACACGTTCTTAAACCCACACATTACACAAAGAAAGCAGATGCTTTACCTTCGAGCCGCTGCTCTCTCCTTAGTAGATGGTAGCCAATTAAAACTTGCAATAGCTACTATTGACTGTTTGGTGGTTGATTAGACCCAACATAACTGGAGCACTTAGATTTTGAACTGAAACACTGAAGGATTTGAAGCCCTTCATTCACTGGACTGCCATTTTGTTTTCTGTAACCTCTCTAAACCTTAGGAACCATGTTGCTGTTGTTTTTTTCAGTCTTTTCCATCTGGAGAAGGCAAACTGAGATATGGACAAATTGTTTTCTACGAGCCTTTCTCATTCCTCTCTCTTCTTACCGATACCAGTGGTTGTAGCAAAGTACATACTCTGGAGTGTGTATTGAAGTACAAATAATTCATTCACCTCCTTTTCTCCCCGCTGCTTTTTTTTTTTCCTTTGCAGTCGTAGCCCAAAAAGGATGCAGATGGTTTCAAAGATCTCTTTCTTTGCAATGTTTGTCATGTACTTCTTGACTGCTGTTTTTGGCTACTTGACTTTTTATGGTACGTAACTAATTTTTGCTAATGTGTATGAAAGTTGAAATAGTACCACTTTCCTTACTACACTGTTTCAGCAAGAATTGAAAACAATACTAAGGTTTATAGCCTTTTTCATGTGTTAGGTACCAGAATTGTTTGAATGTGTGTCTCTGTTGCTCTGTGCACATGGAAGCTAACTCTTCTGTTGGTGGAAGCTCTCCATATGATTTGGAACTCTGATTTGCAAACTACCAGATTGCATGGAGAACTTCTGTAGATAGAGGAGGGCCTCCTGTTTAGGAAATTGTACTTTCCAGGTAGAGGGTGACAGATCCTAGCCCTCCCCGTCCCTGCATGTTGAGTCAGCTCAGATTCTTATTCCTGAACAGAGCCATGCCTATGCTACTTCCTGCTTTCTGTTTTTCTATCAAAAAGGAAGAGTGGGAGGTATTTCCTCCTTGTTCTCCTCCCATGCACTGGGTATCCTGTCATCATTTGAAGATGGCATTTCTCTAGCTATTGCACTAGCAGCAACATCCTCTGCTGATGGGAAGAAGAGGGCAGAGGAAGTGCACAAACTGGAGCGTTGCGTCCAGCTATCTCATGCTTAGTGGGACCGTGCCTGTGCGGGCTGGCAAGTGATGGTGTGAATGGTGCAGGAGAGGCCTTACATGCCAGCTGTTAGGCTTGTGTTATAGCCTAACTATACAACAAACCACAGTGGGCGGAGTTCTGCTTGCTGGGAGATCTTTGCCTCAACAATAATACCTGAATTTGCTTCAATTCATTTGCTTCTTCCCCCAGATGGGAGAGGATCATACAAGGGGTCCTAGATAAGGACTCCTATTCAGATGTTCTTGGGCTTGCCTTTTTTTGTTATAGTGTTAAGCTTCTTGTTAAAAAAAGCAGTCACCTGCATATAGCTTTATAGTTCAAGAACAGATCACCTTCACTTCTTACCTTTGGAATTACATTGTTTAGAATAATCCTGTAATTTGAACATAATGAAAATCATTTTAATGTCATTTTAACTGTGTTAGAATCTCCAAAAATATAATGATTCCACGACTTTACTTACAAAATGTCTGTATTTTTGCAGTATTTGATAGCAACCAGGTGATTTTAATGGAACTAAGGCAAATCCTCTGAGTTAAGCCCTTGTTTTGTGGCTTCCTTTCGCCACTCAGGGTCAATGCAGTTGTCAAGTTGCACCTACGCATGAAGAAGCTGCCACTGAAAGCAGTGGGATTTATGCCTAAGCAAGTGTGTATCAGGTTGCAACCTGATTTCAAATTTCAGGGATCCATGCAGAATGGTTTGAAATGCTGTTTTCCATCCCGTTTGCCTCTTCTGCAGCCCTGCTGTCTACCCATTAATCCTTTGTTGTTTGTGATGGCTCTTGCTAAGCGGCAGCTTCTGTTTATTAATTGCCAGACTGCTGAAGTAACCCTCTCATTGTCTTCTCTGCAGAAACTGTGGAGTCAAATCTCCTCCACAAGTACAAGAGTAAAGGTGATATCCTCATCTTAACAGTTCGCGTCGCCGTCATTACTGCAGTCATACTCACCGTCCCTGTATTGTTTTTCACTGTAAGTCTCCTGTTCCTTTGTGAATATAATTCTAGTTCCTGTAACGATCAAATTCTTACTTGCTTGCTCATTTAGGGCTGATCCAGCTGAAGGTGGGTTACAGCTTAGCATCAACCCCCTGAACCCACCTAAAATTCCCAATGAAACAAAAGCAGTGCTTACAATAATTTTGCTTTTGCCCTGCAAAATAATAATAAGATTAAGAACACCAGTAGCTACTCTTAATTTCAACCTCCAGTAAATCATCTAATTATTGACTTTCTCCCAGTGGAATAGTTTTCTGCTCTAGGCTCAGGGAGTCGTTCATAATCCATTGTCTTTTTACTTTTGTTTGACTCAAGAAAGCCATTTCTTGCAAGATCAGCCTGGCTCCTGGCATGTGTTCCTCCCACACAAATACACTGAGCACCTGCAGCTTGGGTGTTCTTTGCCTACCGCTTTCCTTCTCAACTCCATTACAGCCATCTACTTTGTCATACCCACAAAGCAGACATATTTATAACCATTCATCTTTAGCAACACATGCAGACTGTCTGATGAGCATATGATCCCTATTACAACATACTACCTGCTTGCCCACTGTACCATATCAGAGAGTAGATTTATTCAGCAAGTATTGGCTTCGTAAATTTGTTTGCAGTGTTTTCCTGCTGTATTTATTGTCCTTGTCCCTAGAGGGGCAGCTGCCTGTCTTTCTTCTTAATGCTAAATTACTGAAAGAGGAGCACTTGCAAAAAAGAGCCACTAGCAGAAACGGTGGGTTCACATTGGCCTACTGAGGGCTGGAGGTCACCAATGGCACAAAAGATCAGTGGGAGAAGAGAAGCCAAGGACATGGCACTTCCGTATGAAATGCAGGACTGTGTTCCTTTGAATTCCTAGACCATTATACTCCTGATTGGACCATTCAGTGCTATGGGATGGGCTCAAACAGCCAGAAAAGGCTGAACCATTACAAATTTTGGTGCACGATTCTTTTTTTTTTTTTTTAATCCTTCCGTATTTGATTCATCATGGAAATCTAATTTGTGGGAGAAAATGGATGAAGTTCAGCCTTGGCATAAGGGTAATTAATTCTGACACTAGAACAAACAATGTTAATATAAAAAGCCTGCAGCTGAAATAAATAGCATCTGTTGAAAATGAAAACAATTCTCCCTCCGTCCCTCCCTCCCTCGCTCCCTCTCACATGCATGCACACACGTCCTCCAGAAGACTTTGAAATGAAATGTAAATGCAATATACAAAACTAAGGAAGAAATTATCAAGAAGATTAGCTGCCTTTACTAATTTGCAGAAATTTGTCTGACAGTTGTCTTCTTTTTTCCTCTCACAGGTGCGCTCTTCTATATTTGAACTTGCTAGAAAAACCAAATTCCACTTATTCCGTCACATTTGGGTTACGTTGATCCTTTTGGTGATCATTAACTTGTTAGTTATTTTCATACCTTCCATGAAGGATATTTTTGGAGTTGTAGGTACAGTATTCTAATTATATATGATTAACAAATGCTTGTTTTCTCTTCTGGCAAGCCTAGGCAGAATTATAACAAGATTCATCTCTTTGGTTGTAGGGGTAACATCTGCCAATATGCTGATTTTTATTCTTCCTTCATCGTTGTATTTAAAAATTACACACCAAGATGGATCCAGACTGATGCAGAGGATTTGGGTAAGTTGTATTGAACTGCATACTTACCAAGATGCCTTCCTGATGGTTAGGACCCCTAGGGTATGGACTGGGCCTCCACGGGAGCTGGTTAAAGCCCCATTGGTGAGGATGTTCAAGGGTAAGCTGGACATACACATGGTAGGCATGTCATGAGTGGAGCTGCCCAGTGCAAGAGGTCAGATTAGATGGCCCAGGAGACCCCTTCTGACTCGTTCTGCTTCTGTGTTTCTAAGACACAACAAAGGTAAAATCCAGAGAGCCATTCCAGTTAGCACAATGTACACTCTGATACACTAGTAGAAGTGCTACATGAACAAACTTCTGTATGGAGAGGGGCCAGATCCACACTTACAAAGTCTATAGCATCATCTTAGAGTTTGTTAACAAGATGCAGTTAGATCAGGATATTTGTACTACTGATAAACCTATGGAATGCGCTCCCCAGAGAGGTCCACCTGGTGCCGTCGTTATTTGCTTTTCAGTGCCAGGCCAAGACCTTTTTATTTAAACATCATTTTAATTGTTGATTTTATTAATTGATTTTAACAACTTTGGCCAGGATGTCTCCAACTGTATTTTATTATATTTATGATATTTATTTATGTTGTAAGCCGCCCTGAGGCTGAGGCGAATGGGGTGGCATATAAGTTTGTTAAATAAATATAAACTGGATCTGTAAGATGCATGCCACTCAGTCATAGAGGCCCATAGGAAAATACTGCCAAAGGTTCTAGTGCTGGTCACACTAGGCGTGAGAGGTTGGTTTAAAAAACGCTCTCCCTGTATTGGAGCTCCTGCAGGAGCAAGTCATTATGTGGCATCCGTGGCCCTTTTTTCGGCATTCCAAATCACATGATTAGTACCATGTGGAATGGGGAAGCACATCAGTCGGCCCCACTGCTGCATCCCTGTGGCACTAACCATATTTGTGGTGTGAGTATCCATTCTGCCCAAGAGAAAGTGGGGCCACTGAAAATGGAAATTCATGTCAGAGGCATTGGCCCACTCCACATGCGGTTAATTGCTGGACAGAGACCTCCTAGACTGGAAGAAGGTTGTTTGGCTTTCCAGTGTCTTCTGCTGAAATTCGTTCTAGCTAAGCTTTCAGACTGAAACTAGTATAAAATGCAACTTTGCATGAATAGCTGGCAAACCAGTGAGCAAACCATGTGTGTTAGGATTTTTGTTCATTTCTTTGTTTTTATCGTTAAGAAATTTCTGCTTAGCTTTAATGCCTTTCCAAAATCTGTTCTGTAAGCTAACATACTTTCCTATTTTGGTTCCAGGCATCACTCTTTCTGGCATTAGGAATATTGTTTTCCCTGATAAGCATTCCTCTTGTCATCTATGACTGGGTCAATTAAGAAGATCACTAAACACTCATGAGACATTGAGGAGAACACATTTCCATTTTGCTACGCACCAAAATCACCAGTAGCCATTTTTGTCAATATGTCCATTCGTTATGGGTTTCCTACATTAAATCACAATAATGAAATACTAGTAGGATGTATTTTCTAGTTGTTTCATTGTAATTTTTAATGCTGTTTTCTATGTTGCCACAAGCTACTGGATCAGTATTAATTTTTTATGATAGTACAATTTTACATGCACAAAGACTTGTTCATTGGTCATATGTATTCCGTGCGTGGTAATTGACATTAAATTGATGGGGAATCGTTATTATCTTGGTCATATAGTTGCAAACTATATCACTTTATTTTCAAGTAAGATCCGTTATCCAGCAATGATCAAAAATACTTCTTACTCCTGGAAATAATTTTGCATCTACCTAAGTATGCTGCTATAGCATTTGATAACCTATGCATGTTTAGACAGAAGAAAAGCCTATTCCCAGAATATCCCAACTAGCATTGCTAACTAGTTGTCAGCCTTTTTCCGTCTAAACATGCATAGGATTGCACCTTTAGTGTTGGTCACAGATGGACGCTGCAGGGTCTTTGGTATCAGTAGACAATGCCTGTGCACAATTTAGCCTTAGGAATTCACCCCTGTGGGATTTGCCTTTGTACATTAAGTTCTATTATAATCCATGGCAGTGTCGTGTGTGTGTGTGTTTTTGTGTGAAAAGTTTATGTTCAATTAGTTGTTTCCCTGAGGATATGAAGGCACTGACAGGGTAGACTGCTGGCAATTACACAATTGTTGATATCAATTTGGAGCTGTGGAGTTGACAACTTCTTAATGAGTACTTGGTCTGGTAAACTGCTGGAAGGTGATGCTGCAAATGACAAGATTTGTATAGACACTGGCCATTGAAAAGTGGGATCCTTCTGTGAATCACAAATGGTTATGAAATTGAAGGAGCTTAGAGGCAAGACCAGGCACTTGTCCCCATTAAGAAGGCCAGCTGACCATTGTTCTAAAGACTACGCCTGAATCGATCTCAAACGCGCTGGTTGCTTTATGAACTAAATAAAACCTCTAGAATCAAGCCAGGTGAAGGGCTTCCTTTGGCCCTCTAGGGTTCTCCAGAAGGCCATACCGAACCTTCTGGCCCTATATTTTTCTCCCATTTCTTCCTGTAGAGCATTTGGCGATTTCTTGGCTTTTGCGCAGTTCTCTTCCATTTTAAGATGGTGGCATAACCTCTTTCAAGCCTGAGTTACTGGTACTAAATCAAACACTTAGGAAATTAAGCACCTGCATCCACCCACTGTCAATTTCCATTCAGATGTTTCACTCACTCCATGACTTCTAGATTACTGTAATGTACTCTGCATGAGACTGCCCTGAAAGATGGAATAGAAGGTTGCTGCTACTAAAAAAGCACTAGCTAGCACAATCATATTTTGCTGACTTTAAGAAATCTGTATTGCTTACTAGTTTGTTTCTGAGCCCAGCTTAGGGTGCTGTTTTTGACCTAAAAGATCCCATCCTGGGTGTCTGCTCTATCTTCCGTTCATTTTTATTGTTTTTTAATTTATTTATCTCATTTTATACTGCCCAGCAGTCAAAGCTGTCTGCAGGTAATAAAAGTTAAAAACACAGAACCATGAAAGATTTTCTAATAGCATCAGAAAATAAAACCACAGCAATTGCAACCAAGTCAGCACAGAGGTATAGCAGCAGTACAGGATAAGAGTCAATATTAAAACTATAGTTAATAAGTTAACTGGGAAAATAGAAAGGTTTTCACTTGGTGCTGAAACAAATACAGAGTAGGTGTCAGATACACTTCTTTGGGAAGTTCATTCCAGAGCCAGGTGCCACCCTCCTTAGTTTCTTTGAGGATGAACTTAGGGTCCAGGTAGGTACATAAGAGACAAGGTGTTCCGTAAGATAATCTGGCCCCAAGCCATTTAGGACTTTAAATGTTAATATTAGCACTTTAAATTGGGATGGGACTTCAACTGGCAGCCAGTACAGCTAAAAGAGGACTGGCACAATATGTTCTCATAAGCCATTCACCATTAACAATCCCTCTGCCCTGTTTGACTGAGTTGAAGATTTTGGACTGTTTTCAATGACAGCTCCACGTACAGCACATTGAAACAATCCATACAAGAGGTCGCCAGAGCATGGATTATGTAGCTAGGCTCTGTCTAATTCCATCTTTTTCTCACTTTTTTGTCAAATATCTTTCCTTTTTAATATTCTTCCTTATAGTTGAGTCTGCCCTGTTTTTTGCAGCCCAACCTACCTCACATGGTTGTTGTGAGGATTGAGGGGAGGGGGAGAATTATGTATGCCACTTTGAGTTCCTTAAAAGGATAAATGGTAGAATATAAATGTAATAAACAAACTTGGTACCTTGCAGGAAAACTCATTTCAAAACTCGGGGGCAAATGTAAAATGAGCATGTGCCCACACAACAGACTTGTTTTGGAATCATTGAAGAGAACATTTAAGTATCCCACAGTACAATCCTGTACATGCTTACTGAAGAGGAAATCCTATTCATTTGAATGTTTCTTACACACAGGTAAGTGTGTACAGGATCATAGGTTAAAGGTATAATCTGCAGAGTCACGTGGTGTTTTCTGCTGCTTGGAGGCTCTTGTGCTGCTTGAAAAACCACTCCTGTAATTCAGGAGTAGAGTCCAACTAAACAAAGAATCTGCAGTCTGCTTAAAAAAGAGGAAGAAGTAGGGCAGCCCACTGTTTGTTCAAAGCGCTTGCACATGTTTTCTGAGTTGCAGCCTGAGTTATTTAGTGCCTGCCACTGAGTACAGATACCTATATTTTTATGATGATAATGATTGTCCTGTTATTGTTGAATAATGAGAATTTCTGATTATAATCCAGGGCCGACCAGCATTTGTTTTATCTGGTTCAGGCTCTGATTATCCTGATATTCAACCACTTGTACATTTTTAACAAAATATATCTATCTATCAGTACTATTTCATAACTGCCTTTATATTTCTTTTGCCTCTTATTGCAATATGCTATTTTAGAATGTTGTATTATCACCCCTGCAAAGTGCTTCATTATTAACTTGCTACTTCTGAAGTCTTCTGTGCTGCATATTACCTGCTTCACACTATAAAGTAGTTCGGCAATAGTCTTATTTTAGAAAGGCAGAAATGAGGCCAAGAGAAAAAAGGAACTTTCTCTCTCTGAGCAAGGATTTGAAGTGTGGTTTCTCATCAATGTCTAGCATTTTGGCCACCTGGCGATTTTGAATGAAATGCAAGGTGTTTCTGGGTTTGGACTGACTTAGGAAGGTTTTTTTTGTCTTAAACACAAAAGACCCTAATATAAAACAGCCTAATAAGGGACTATTTTGGTATCCTCCTCAATATTGTTGTAGACTTGCAGATAAATATCCAAACAGTTATCAGTGGAGAGCATACCAGATGCTGGTGGAGACCACCTTAGGACCATGATATGAGGACTGAGTACAGTAACTTCAGTGAAATGATAGATTGGTTCTCCTTGTTTTAGAAATAACTGCTTGCTTTAGTGCTGCAGCACAATACCAGACCAAGTACAATCATCCAAGAAATATATTGATTTTCCAGCCTAATCTGAAATTGTAATCCAAGATACACAGAGATTTTTAAGTTGCCAGATTTCTGGCTGCCTTTCACCAGCTTTAGTATTGGCTTAGGCATCATTAAAAAAAACTTGGGTTTCTTAAAACAGCCCTAGGTTCTTGTGTGACCAGGACTAAGCAAATCTGACTTCTGCCTATTCACTCTGACTGCGCTTAAGAGGCAGTGGCTGGTCTTACATGTCACACCAATCAACCCTGCATGGTTGGCATGGTTCGTGCTGTTTTTCTTCAACATGCCAGTCAGATAATCAGGCTCATGGAGGTACATCTTCTTCCTGCTCCCAAAGGGAGGAATGAGGCTCCTTTCTTTGACAGGCATAAATGTGAGCAGAGCTCAGCTCGCTGCAGCAGTCTCATGGCTCAAGAAGATGAGGAAGCACATCAGACACCCTTGCCTCCTGCCTCAAAGAGGGCTGCTGGGGCAAGGATGCCAGATCCATGCTTAAGCAAAAGGCCAAGAGGGTGGGGATCATCAGGGAGATGCTGCAGGAGGGAGTGGTTCCTCTCAGCTAATTCCCCTGCTGCCACCCACCCATGCACCTGAGAGAAGCCCCCATGTGCTCAAGTGGGGCGAGGGGGAGAATCGGCAGAGCGGTAGTGGCCAGGGAGTGGCAATACTACCTGGCTGACTTCCCTAATGGCCACCTGTATTGCTTCCACTCGTGAGAGAGGCATCCCCAAACCGATGCCTGACTAAGTGTCTTTACCACAAGCAGCGGTTATGGGGTGGGAAGGAGGCACTCGTTCCTGTTTTTCAACCCCTGCAAAGCAATGGCACCTCTCTGGCGAACAGGAGAGAGACATGGGAGTGAGTGGGGGGAATTCACTTAGCAGCGCTGCAACCAACTGGGCCCTGATTCCTAGCTGATTCTGCCCCCTCCTGCTCATGAGAGTGAGAGCAGAGTGGCATTGCTCCTCCACAGCTCCACCTGGATGACTGCCCCTCCTACCCCGAAGAAGATACTTAAAGCAGGGGGCAGGTGGAGCGGGGAGTCTCTGACAGCCACACAAAATGGCATCTTTCAGTACTCTCCAGCCAGTTGTTTGGCAGAAGTTACAATGGGCCCTTCCTGCCAAGTAGCCATCTGGTTCTGGCTTTTGTATGATGAAGGGTTGTATTTTCCAGGTTCAGATGAAACAGCAAGTCATTGCGGTATAGGCAAAACCTAAAATGGGCCATTGTTTTTGCCTCTAAAGGGCAAACCTACCTCATTGTGAAATACCACAATGAGATTTGGACAATATGACAGCCCAAAAAGAATATTACGGCTTGTCATGTTGTACGAACTCTGGGTCCTACCAACCTAGGAAGAATGGGGTGGCAAAAACAAGCAGTCACAAAAACCCAGGATTAAAACAAAAATAAAAAACCTCTAGGTTATTCTGATGTCTGAAGCAGGCCTCTATCTCCCTTTTCCCTGTCCTTTTGTGTCTTTTGATAATGACCAGGAGCAATTAGGGTCTGGTTAGCACAGAACTTTAAATCATGGTGTGGTTGGCTGAAATTTGGCTTCTTGTTGTACCCAAATCCATCCTCATAAACAAGCAATGGTTTCTTAACCAGCTATAATGCACAAAAAGAAGTCATGGTTTGTTGGTCATTTACAAAGTTGAGCTTGGTTAAACTATGGCTTATAATGATGTCTCAACCCAAAACTGA